TGGTGAGGAGTAAGTCACCTGTGCAGAGCATTCAGTATGATGCACACGCTATATGGCAAATGGCTCTCAGAAAGACAATCATCCACCTTGCCAACCAATGAGCCACCTGCACCTGGCCACAGGGGCGTGTAAGACAACAGTGGAAAACATTTACAGAGCTCCATTTTCACTCTTAACAGGAATCTGACATCTCCAGTTCACCGTCACATCAGCTCTGATGTCCTCAGAACCTTGAGTCAATAGGACTTTTCCTGGAGCAACAGGGCAGGGCCTGCAGACCCACAGTCTCATCTAGCACTTCTTGCTAAATATTTTCTGAATTAAAGTTCACATGTCTAGAAGCAGCTGGAAGGCTATCATCTCTGCAGCAATATGTGCTTACAAATAAACATAGTTGTTCTCAATAATTGGAATCAGGCTTTGAGGGACTTGGGAATCTGACAGATCCATTATTGTAGCTTTTCAAAATAATAGAAACATGTAGATGGGAGAGGGGCTTCATATGCAGGTAGCTCCTACATGTTAATATTCTATTAATAAGATAATTTTTTCCACCACAATGTCTCACAAAAATTTAAAGTATTAGTTGATGGCCTACAGATCTTCACATAAAAGCTCTCAAGAAGTTTTGGGAAGACCAGGGGCTGACTTTCCAAGGAATACTCTTTGGTGCACATTCCGTTCCATATACACTGTGTGTGTGTGTGTGTGTGTGTGTGTGTGTGTGTGTGTGTGAGAGAGAGAGAGAGAGAGAGAGAGAGAGAGAGAGAGAGAGAGAGAGAGAGAGAGAGAGAGAGAGAAAGAGAAAGAGAAACAAAAATGGAGAGGGAGAAAGGAAATAGAGCCAGAGACAAAATGTCAGGCAGACTGACAGAAAGAAAGGGAGGGAGGGGAGGAGGGAGGGAGAGACGACGGATGACAGGCACAGAAGGGTGAGAGAGGGCTCTAATTTACCACTTTAGAGTTAATATTTGAAAGCAAAGGCACTTGGCTGTGCCATGGAACCGGAACTGAGTCTGAAAGGCCTGCGGGCAGGCAGGCTCCAAGAGGGTATGTGGTGGTTGCACCCACAGTCCAAGGTTTGAATTCTGCTTTTTCTATGTCTGGCCCACACAGCTTTGAGACATCACTGCCTTAGTTTCTTCTGTGTACAATACGAAGAATGCTTTCGCAGACTAGGGATGATGTCATGAGCAGTTACCAAGGCACTAAGCCCAGCCCCAGAGGAGTGGATAGGGACTGCAGATCCAACCCAGGAATTGCCCTCCTCAGGGATGCCACTGCGGAGCAAGGTCGGGTCACTGGTCTCTGGGGTTCACAGAATGCCTCAGCTCAGACAAGGTTACCACATCCTCATTCGGGGGACTGGGAGGGCCCAGGCTGAGGGCTCGGGGAGTGGGAGTGGACAGCTCCTATCTTCCTTGGTCAGCCCTTTACTGGGACAGCCAGCTCAGAGATTTGCCAGTGAGCAGTGAGATTCTGATTCCCAGAGCGAAGCCATGGCTCAAAGAGCAATCCCTTGGATATGTACCAGAGCGAGGGGTTCGGGGGGGGAGGCAGGATTGGGGGGCATACTCTGTGTGCACCTGCTTTGTGTCTCACCTGGACTCAGAAGGGTATATCTCTCTGTGTCCTGCTCCAATTCAACAAACTCTGTACCCTGTAGTACTTTGTATTTCCCAACACAGAGGTACAAGCACACACACGCACACACACACACACACACACACACACACACACACGCACGCACACACACCCTTAGAACACTTGCTCATCCTCTTTCATAAAGGGCTGAAGCTTCCACATCAGTGTTACCTGAAATGCTTGGAAAAGCAGCCTCCTCCCCTCCCTCAACAGCCCTCCCCTCCCACAGGTGCTGAGTATGGACTCTTTCCTGAGGGCATTCAGGGCAAGTTGGGGGTCGCTGTGCCAGGGCAGACATGTATACATCTTGACTACACATTCATAAACTTTTCCTCTGACAATGGAACCTGATGGCAGAGAAGATTTTTCCAGTCCATACCTCAGGGAGTACATGGAAGGTCACCTTGCTGCCTAACGGACAGTCAGGGCAGCTGCAGGAGTGACGCTTATGGGAACCACCTGCTTCCTGGAGGACAAAGGAGAAGTATTTCCTGTTCCTGGGGCTGTCACTGCTTTGGTAAATCTACCTGTGCTGCAGGTAGGAGCAGGAAGTGGATAAAGTAAACCACGCATGTGGAGTCGGGGAGAAAGAGAGGTAGAGAGTGGCAGTGACTCTGCCCAGTTGTGGAATGTGGCTAATATGAGCCCTGCTGCCCCTGTCTTGGAGGGGAGGGTCCTAGGAAGGGGTGAGTGGGTGAAACTTGGCATGAGAAGGTAGCCTGAAGCCTTCCCTTTCTCCAAGTGCATCTGGAAGGGACCTTGTGGTCATCCAAATGCCTGCCCACACCTGGAATTAGAAAGATGCAGTTGTGGCAATATGGAGATCCTTGACTTTTCTCAGCCCTTATAAATGAATGAAGACTTGAAACTGTCATCCAGGATAGAGAAAAGCCCGCTAGGCAGGCACACTGTGTCTGTGTCCTCAGGGGAAGCAGAAGGGGGCTCAGCCAACCACATCTGACCACATCTGAAGGAGCAGCCTAGCACTCCCCTGGCTGGAGGCCAGGTGGAACCCAGTCCAGGACAATGCTCACGCCAAGCTTCTCTTTGTCTGGGGACTGACAAAGGCCACACCTTGGCTTTTTCAAAGCGGAGGTTGCCATGTGCACTGTGAGGAAGAGGAAGAGACCAAAATTCTGTCTAGCATAAATGATCTCATGGAAAGCAGTTCTTGGAGCTGAAGAAACTTCACAGCTCATCTTTTCCACTCTGCAATGCTAAGATTCACATCCCACTGTGGCCTTCATCTGCAGGCAGATGGAGTTACATTTGCCATACAGGAAACCCTCGCTTGCTGCTTAACCTCTTTAGCCTTGGTTTTCTCATCTGTAAAATGGGAATAATGATATCTACTCTGCAGGATACTTTTAAGATTAGAGACTATGTTCATCAAGTGATTGGCTCGAAAGAGACACATAACTAGGACTATTATTACAGAGTTGGCAATGAGTTTGGGCTTCACATAAATTCTCTTGGAGAAGCAAATGCAACGGATTTTACCCTTCATTTTGTAAAAGGTGAAATTTTAAATTATCTTGAATAATTTTATTCTGTGAAATCTAGAGAATCATCAGGTGATAATTTTGATCTTGATAGATGGTTTCATGCTATTTGGCTCTTTTGAGAAATTCTTTTGGGAGCACCATGAAGCTTAGGGAGAATTCAGCAGTAAATAGGAGACTTACATTCTGGAAATGTGGTTTGACATTACATAGCGACAGCGTGCTGGCATTCAGCTATTTCATCATAATTATTAGGTGTGAATTCTAAATTTTTTTGCCTCAGTAAATTCATCACTGCTCAAAATAGACTTCTGAAAAGCATGTATTTCCCACACTCTAATAGTTCCAGTTTCTCATTCAGGGTCCCAGGGACGTGAGAGAAGACACAGCTGTGGGCCTCCGTGGGATCAAAGGACAAGGGGCAGAGAGGGATGCTAAAACTGGGAAGCCAGAAAGAGGGGGCTAAAGGTAGATTGCTTAGGGCTCTGCTTAGGAAAGGGACATCTTCGTGGAGGGTGGAACCCTATCAGCGTCCTCCTCCTCCTCTCTGCTGGCTCTGCAGCTCATCCCGGCGGTTTCAGGGAGATCAATGGAAGCTGGCCGCAGAGTCACAGCTCAAATTCCCCTTTCTTTCCTTGCATCCTCCACTGGCCAGTCCACCAAGATGACAGCCACCACTGCTTCTATTTTACAGGTACCTCAGGCGGAAAACAAGTGCCAGAATCTCAGAAAGTAGAGGTGCTGGGCCTTCCATGGCTACTCACTTCTTCCTTAAGAGATGTTTTCTTTCTCTGGACCTCAATTTCCTCATTTGACAATGGGTGGGACAGAGGGTGATGTATGGTCTTGCATCTCTGCCCCAGATCTGTGGCTGTTTTATACCCTGTGCTAATGCTGGCTAATGTCCAGAAATAGTCAAGGGAACTAGACACACTTGAGAAAGAAAAATGGCTTGACTGGAGTTGGAAAATTCCATGTGTACAACTTGTAGCTCTTAGAGATCCCGCAGCCTGGCATTAGTATCATAGAATGGTAGTTTTGGTGAGTGCCCATGGGGACTCTAAGAACCCCTATCCTTGGACATGTGGCTGTATCTTCCCTTGCTCTCCCTCCTTGAAGGACAATCACCTTGCCTGCTGCTATTGTCAGAGACAAGAATCCTAAATCTAGGAAGGAATCCTTTCTTGACATCAGATTCACTCCTGTTGCAGGACAGGCTCTGAGCTTGGCAGAATGTTTGCCAAATTGTTCTCAGCCCTCCCTCCCATTCAGCCTCCTTAGGAAGGCAGAACCGGGTTGGGAGTAGAGTCAAAGCAGACTTCTAGCTGAAAAGACCATAGAGACAATTCTTCAGCCTCATTGCTCTTCATATATAAGATCTCTGGGTCCAAGGAGGGCAAAGACTTGGCTATGGTCACACAGCAAATCAGAAGCAGAGCTGAGCTAGAGCCAGGATGCCATTCGCTTGTTAGCCTACTCCTTAATGAAGCTTGGGACTCAGAGTCAGACAAGGCGAGGTCCAAATTCTACCTTTACAACTGATTGGCCATGTGACTGTGGGCAAATTACTTAACCTCCTAGGACCTCTACTGCTCATATGTAAAAAAGCAATAGTCATATTCCCTGGCTCAGTGCACTCACATGTATGAAACAGTTAACTAGTATGGTGCTCAGAATAAAAGAAATGCCTGATTAATGTTCTCTGCCATCACTGTCATGGGTTCCACTGTTGTAATTGTTATTGTTAACTGAAGACATGGTCTCTGGGAACCGACCCCGGCCAGGAAGCTGGGGCCGGGTGTAGACCTGAACCTTGGCCTGCGATGCTCTCAGTAACACCCCTTCTCTCTGCAGACTGGTGGAGCTCATCTCCTCGGCACCCATTGGATCCCACTGGGGGGTGCTGTCCAAGTGCTTGACCTACAGCAAGGCTGCATCTGACCCCTTTGTGTACTCCCTGCTGCGACATCAGTACCGCAAAAGCTGCAAAGAGATTCTGAACAGGATCCTCAACAGACGCTCCATCCGCTCCTCAGGCCTCACAGGTGACTCTCACAGCCAGAACATTCTGCCCGTGTCTGAGTGAAGGACCAGGTTCCTGCTGGAGAGTTTAGAATGAGATGACTGGGAGACGTGGGGGCAGGCTAGGGGATCCTGGATGGACACCACCCACCACCATCTCCCCGCAATCCCAGTGATTCAGGATTCTGGGTCTGTTTCCTGGCTCCTCAGGGCAGATATTGGACTGCCACCATTTATCACCAAAGGATGGCCATGGGCCATGCTCTGGCCTTTCTTTCTGAGAAGCTTCTTTGAGCTCCCAGACCCACCAGAGGCTCCTCTGGAGATGATAGTCCAGTCACGGTCGAGGATGAGGTACAGGTGGCAGGTGGGGAGGAGTGGCACCCACCTGCTTGGACCACTGGACATGAGGCTCCATGCTGAAGAAAAGCAACGGTCTCCATGGGACATTTTAGTCATGCTACAGGTGAGACTGGTGGTGGCCATGTGGCCCCAGATCTGACATAATGACTCCTTTCCACTTGGTAGGTGTGGCTGCTTTAACCCAAATATTATCAGCTAGTACCAATTAGCTGAGACCCTGGGACTCTGCTCCTAAAGGGAAGATGTTTAACAATTAGTGGCCATCTGGTTGGTGGCCACCAGTTGTCCCAAGAATGGCAAATTGGATATAACTTTTTTATCTCCTCCCGCACAAAAAGAAAACTCATGTTTGTGTGTGTAGACAATCTTAGCATGAAAATGGTTTCAATAGACAGGGTGATATATGTGTGTGTGTGTGTGTGTGTGTGTGTATATATATATATATATATATATATATATATATATATATATATATATATATATATATGTTAGGTTCTTCAAAGTCTGGCCAAGCAGTTACTTTCTCGCTATTTACATGTCATAAATGTAAGGGCCAAGTAAAAGCAGGAAGATTGTGGCTGGTGGGTCTCCCTGTCTGCATTGTGACCTGAATTTCACCTTGTCTTATGCATCTTATCCAGCAAGTCTTATGAAATGGATGGGCAATTACTGAACTGAGCAGGGATCTATCCTTTATTTTCAAACACTAAGTTCCATTATCCTAGTGGCTCTATAACCTACTGTCTGTACATCCATCTATAGAAACCAGAGGCTATGAAAGGTCACCAGGAAATCTCCCTGTGCTACTGGTTAGATAGCAAAACTTGTATGAAATATTGTAATATACATATCAATCCAATAGCAGCTGTGGGCTTGATTTCATAAAAAAGCAAGATGAGTGGTCCATGGTTTCTGTCCATCACATTCATGTTCACCATTTTTAAATTGATTTGTGAATACTCAAAGCAATTATTTCTCAGTCCTTTAAGTGATTCCTCCAGGATGGAAAGGATAGGGAGCCATGTAATCAAATGGCTCATTTTCTCCTTACAGCTCTTCTGTCCTTACTTGGGAGGTAGAGAGAAGAGGAAATTGTCTACCAAAGACCAACCAGAAGAGCCTGATGGTTTTCACTGCTAGGCAACCCCGGTACTTAAAAGTAGAGAAGTGTCTGCCCATTTGAGAAGATTTTGTCTTATTAACTATTAGCTTCTCATTTAGAAAGCGACTTAGCCAGGCTCAGTGGTATCAGGTTTCAAAGTTTCCATGGAGATTAGAATCAAGACAGATGTAGCATCTGAGAAGGCTATGACATCTTCCTACTGCTGGCAGAGGTATGCTCACACCTGCTCACATCTGGCTTATTAGAAAAAAGGAACCTGGGCATTCTGACATATTCCCTTAGGACACTGGCTTGAGTCTCTTATCAAATTCTTCCCAGCCAGTCCTGTGGGGAGTCAATGGGATATAATCTCTTCCCCTCCCATGATCAGGGATATCACATTGGTACCTTTAAATCAGCCATGGTGGAAATTTCTATACCATGAAAATGCTATTAATCAAGTCTTCCCCCCAGAAAGTTAGTTAAATATCTCCTAGCACATCACTGCCAGACGTAACTTCGTGTGTTACTGAAACAAAATTGGTTTGGTTCAGAGACCATTTTGCCTCTCAAATTCAAATCACAATAGACACTTTCATTGAGCTTTCCTAGTGACAAGCAGCTGTCTACCACCCAGTATCCCAACACCAAAAGTGCCATTGAGGTTAAAATCAACCAGGAGTCAAGACAACATGCACAGCTGACTATGTGAATCTTCCCTTTTCACACAAATGCTCCTTAAGTTGGGTAAAAGAAGAGTAGCGACCCAGTGGATGAGGACAACAGACAGGCAGATGCAAGCAGTATAAGTTTCAAGGAATAATTGCCATGAATCTCTTCTCTGCTTGCTCTGTATAAGCCACATAGTGTACTCCTGGTAGCAACTAGATCTTTTTTCCTCTTCTTTAGCTAATAAGCAAGATTTTTCACCCACAATACCACACATTGTGAATGATGCATTTCCCAATTTTCACTATACCTCTAAAACTGCTCAAAACCCAGTAAAAGCAGTTATAGACAAAAACCCTCAGATAAACTGATTGGTTACATATTTTCATCATCATTTAGATATAGGAATTAAAACCCCTGGGGCAGTGAGAAGAAAATTAGTACATTAGAAATCAATGTCAACCAGTTTTGCTATAATTACCTTTCAATAGATGTCTATGTTCCTCTACAGGCAATCTCTAAAGTCTGCCACTCCCTTCATTATTCCCAACTGAATTACCTACCTCATTTTGGGAATTTATCAAACATGTGGTTTTCTCAGGTATAACATATAGAAACACCAACACTTTTGGCATCTAAATCAAAGGGGCTGGATGTGCTTGCTTGACTTCAGCTAGTGTAAGCCTTAATACTTAAGGCCCAAATGGAGGAAATAGCTGGACAGGGAAAAACATTTTAGAAACTTGAAAATAACACTTGTAACAGAGTGGATTTCTGACTCCTCAATCCATGTAGAGGGCTCAGTTAATTGTCCTAGATATTCAGAATTTTCTAATAATAATCACTTTGCCACTATTCTAGCTTTTTTTTTTTTTTTGGTGGTGCTAGGGATGGAACCTAGGACCTTGTAAATGCTAGGCAAGTGTTCCACCACTGAGCTACTCCTTCAGCCCTTTTAAAATTTTATTTTGAGTCAGAGTCTTGTTAAATTACCCACGCTGACCTCAAACTTGCAATCCTCTTGCTTCATCCTCTCAAGTAGCTGAGATTACAGGTATGTGCACATCTGGCTCCTCAGATCTCTTCTTGAAGAAGGAGATTGCAAAGCCTGGAGGCCCTGACAGAACAGTCCATTGGTGAGTGTCCTGGAACATGGGTTTGTGGGTCTTGTGGCCAGCTCATCTTCCCGGTGCCTCCCTGGAGGTGGCCTATGTTTGCTTACAAGTCAGGCAGGGGAAGAGGGGCTTGATGACATGAGTCATCTCATTCCAACTTCGTGTTCTTCAGGAATCAGCTCAGGGGTCTGTGACTCTCCCTGTCACCCTGAGCAATAAACCTATCTCCTTGTGTTAGAGAAGTTCTTCTTCTTTTTCATGTACCTTTCTTCTTAAGAGAAGACAGAAAAAATGGGGCCAACCACAGTCCTGGTTGTTACCTTTTCACATAGTTAGATGGCTTTGCCTGGCAGAGATGGGACCCTCCGAGAAACTGAAGGCTGTGCCTTGTTAGAATGTAACCTGAGTACAGGATGAAGTAATCTGTCTGATTTTAGCGAGAACATTTTATCAGGTGCCAGAAATCTCTTGGATCAGCTCCCATTAGTGGCTCAGGAACAGCAGGGGAGAGATCTGCTGCGTGATAGGCTCTCCTTGCCTTCCTGAATGCCTGATGTGTCTGAATAGAGCCATCAGTTCTTAAACTCTCCTGTCCCTAAGTGTCACCAAGGGAGGTGGCTTAAACACAGAATCTGGCATCTGCTCCTCAGAGATCAATTTATGTGGCTGGGGAAGACTTGGGATTCTGTTAGTGAGTTTTCACAGCTGACACAAAGTGGTCTTCAAACTACCCTCTTAGGAAGAATGATCTTACACATCTGAATGAACCAAAAGGAAAATTGGGTCTTTCTAAATAACTAAGTTTCCATTATCTTGCATCTTTCCTTAATTGCCCAAATAGTTTCATCTCCAGGTTTATTCAAGAGCTAGATAATTTTGTTCTCAAAAGGGCAGAAGGCTCACTTCATGAGATGCTGAAAGCTTCTTTGCAGAAGACCATGGCATAACAGAGGCTCCAGGGGGTAAGATGTGCTAGGGTAAATGTTGGCAGGTGATGGCAGTTGGGACCCTTTGCTGGAGAAAAGGCATTCAAAGGGTCCCTCTCAGGACACTTGCATGGCCCTTGGATCAAGCTGTCTCCACAGGCAACATGGCTGTGGAAAGAAGTAACATCTGTCACTTATGCCATTGACCAGATCTTGTTACATCCCACTGAATAGCTAGAGGCTGGTCCAGGCTGAAGCATGGCCAAGAAAAGATGTTTCTGGATGCCAGTCCTTGGGTGTGGGTCTGTTGTGGAGTCCCAGTTCTCTCCATTGTGGTTACCCTGGCTAGGTCCCCCAGGAACCATCTAGGTTCTCCAGGAATAGCAAGTTGTGTGAGAGCAGCATGCTCTGTAAGCTCCTTCCTTCCCAGTGGCTCCCAATGTCTCCCAGAACCAAGTGGCCTATTGTCCACTCAGCCCCCACCCCAGTACTTAGTCTCTTCCCTGCCTATGTTCCTGGCCTAGTTAAAGGAAGGTGGTAGAAACTATAATCGTCTGCCCGTCCTATTCAGATGCATCCATGAAGTGCAAGGCCTCCTCATGCCTCTTTCCTTAAATACTGGAGAAGCAAAAGGAGCTAGGCATTTTTAGGGGAACAGCTACCTGGGAAGGGAGAGTCATGGGTTCCAAGGAATGGGTTTGTGGAACCTCCTATGGAATCTTCATGGGGATAGGGAACAGTTAAGACCTATACTGGCTTCACTCAGCCTGATCAGACATCCATGTGTGTGGATCTGTGACCTGCTGGTGGTGCAGAGAGCAGAGTCCTGGAATAGCAAGCAGAGAGGCAAGTGGCAGCAAGGGACTCTGACCGACAGCTATGCACATCCTCCCGCCTCACTCCTCAGTTCTATGGGTGCTGTTCCAGGCTTAGGGGGAGATGAGCAATCCTGGGGTGAATGCTCAGGGCTGCAGAACTTGACTGGTGGTGGGGAAGGAGAGTTCTGGAAGGCTTCACAGAGGCAGTGAGGTTTGGGCCACCCCAACAGGAGGGAGCAATTTGTAGCAAGACACAGAGATGTGATGCTGACAGATGAGGGTTGAGTGAGGTGGCAGCTTGGTGCTCATCTTGTACTAGGATCCAGTGAGTGTCATGGAAGCCCCACAACCAGGACAGAACCAACAGCATCTGTCACCACAGGAGAAGATGGATGTCTTGAAGTTGGGACTATCAAACTTAGAAAGAGGAGATATGGGAGAGGTCCATATCTATTTAGCTACCCCAGAAGAAGAGGAAGAAGGAAAAAAAGGGGGAAGGAGAGGAAGAAAGAGAAGGGAAGGAGGGAACAAGGGAGGACCAAAAGGATTGCATTCATTTTGAGAGACATTGAGGTTCACCCTTAAGAGCACAGTTCATGCATAAGAAGCCAACCGAGTCCATCCAGGGCAAATCCCCTGACAGTATGCTGAATGGGGCCAAATACAGGTCTTCGGGAGGTGAGTATTACATACTTATTACATGGAGGGTCTGAAAGAGCACTGCCACCTACACCCCGGGACAAATG